ATTAGCCTTTTGCGCTTGCGGCTTTCTCGTGTTGGGGATTTGTCTTTTTCACCCCTCATGTCTGCTGCTGTCCGAAAAGGGTGTCGCCAAATTTTAACTTGAAACATGTCTGCTGCTGTCCGAAAAGGGTGTCGCCAAATTTAACTTGAAAAATGAAAACAAATCACATTCGGAAAAATTGGGCTTATGTACCGGCGACTGGGCTTATTAGCCGGCGACTTATTAGCCGGCGGATTTTGTTATGTAAAATTCCGTCCCAGCTGATGTGGGCTTAATACGCGGCTGGACTTATAAGCCGTGGGCTTAATAGCCGGCGACTACGGTATTTAGTATTTAGTGCAATTATGGAAAATTCAAAAAGGATAGGCAATCTATGGAACAAATACAAGTACGACAAGAAAATACGCGCACCCCGTATTACATGCAACCTTGAGCCAAATCCTGAGGGTATCGATTCGCGTGTGCGAACACTGAGTCCTATTGGAATACGGAGGTATATATTACGATGTGCTTATTCAACTCTAAAGATAACTTAACTATAGTCATCCTGGAATGTAACGCAAAACCGCCTTTAATACTGGATAGTAGTTATACCCATGTAATTCTCTAATTTATTCACGCGCTGACAATCCAAGGAGCCCTGCAGGCCATATGCATTCTTTGAACTCATTCTTTACTTGCCTGCCGAATTGGCTGACCACTTATTTTCTGTTTGGTGGCTTGGCTGTTTTAAGTTGGGCGATTTGTGCGCGGCGTTGACAGTGACTTTCAAGCACGGTTGGTAATGAATAACCGATGAGCCGGAATATTTTATACGTGTCTTTATGACTTGCTGAACTCTGCACGAAACAGAGAGGTTGTCAACCCGTCTGTGCTCGATTGCTTTGAGCCCATGTTGGCTATTAAATTTTCACTCCTCTGTATGAAATATTATTAGACCGTGTGACTTATTGTAAAGTCGAAAAGGTGATGAATAAAATTACACCCCTTTATCCATCATCTGCTGTGAAACACCCGATATTTACATCAGTTCCACGGTAGGGAATTGTAAAGCTGGTTTATTTTTTATGGACAGTAAACATCATGGCAATAGACGATTGCAGAAGCTGGCCAAGAATTGATGTTGCTAGTTCATTAGTTCCAGAAACGTATTTTTCTACATTCGATCGAGAATATATATACGCAGATCAGAGGGAGTATGCGCATATATATGTGTGTTGAAAGGCAGGCATCCAAATAAATAAAATTTGAAGCCGAAGACGTTCCTTGGGAAAAAGGATTTACTGTGTGGATTTTCGAGACTGGAGCCCCAGCTCGTCTTCGGACGCAGAGTAAAGTGAAAGTGCCAGAAACAACTAAAATCAAGCTTGTATGGGGAAATCGATAATGGCGTGGCATGGCGCTTACGCCTGTTGGCTGTTGTCATGTTTCTCCTCCCGTTCGCATTGGCTTGCATCGCGCCCATTTCTCCTCGGAACTTTTACAGATACCGTCGAGCTCGATGTCCCTGCTGATGCATGACTCGTCCGAGTGCATTACCTCGAGGAATTCTCAGCTTTTCTTGAAAGGATAGACACCGACAATACGGGGTTTGTCCCACGCGAAGGTGTGCCCTATATCCAGGGTATGTATGACGAATTGAGACAAGTAGTCTCCTCTTTTTTTACTGCTAACTGATGTTCGTGGATGCACACAGAGGCGAATTTTCCCGCCTGACCGTAAATCATATCACACTTTGTAGATAACGTTTTTCTTATCCAAACAGTTAATTCGTTGCTGGCTTATAAGCCACCCTAATTTTATGCTTCCTTAGGTGTCTGCTAACGATTTCAGACACGTTCTTGATGTAAGGAAAGCATTGCCAAATGTATGGAGTGCACATCTGATTGCCACTGTCTAAGTCCTTCTTCGTTGACTCCTGTTGTCTCATGAATCGACGTACGAATTCTAGCAGATAACCGTTTTGAGAGAATTATTCGAACATGTGATTTAGTTCGATCTAATAGCCTTCGTTGTCCGAGCAGTGCGTTCTTGCTCGAGTTGACAGACTTATGACTGCACCCCTTTTATGAGTGATAGGATGATCACTCTCATAGTTTAGGATGACTATCGCCTACGTTTCTTTGCGGTAGACAGACATGCGCAATGTTCCATTGAGTTTGCGCTGTAAAAGGACGTTGAGGAAAGGGAAATGGCATCAGTTTTTTTACGAGCGTAACTTTTATCCCGGGAAGCGTGGCGTTGATTACGTTGCGCAAGTTGGCCAACTGATCATTGGTACACCACAAGGATGGGAATAACTATTTGGATATGAAAGAAGTTATCTACAAAGTGTGATGCCATTTAGTGTGGTCAGTGTGCGCATCCACGAACATCACCTGGCAGTAAAAAAAAGAGGAGACCACTTGTTGCAATTCGTTATGCATGCCCTGGTTAATGGGCACACCTTCGCGTGAGGCAAAACCCGTATTGTCGGTGTCTATCCTTTCAAGAAAAGCCGAGAATTCCTCGAG